AACAAACCTTTGAGTGTTCTTTTTCGCCGGGTTTTTTTGCCAAGTTATCTCGGAAATCAATTTTCAAGATGCGGTTAGACCTCGAAAAGCCCGTCAGGTACCGCAGAGAGACGGGATACGCGACCCTTTAGCCAGCGCCTTTACCGTTTCTCTGAGTTCCACACCTATGCAATACTGCGCGAAAGCTAGGATGGCCCTCCTGATCTCCATTTTTATCACACGGTTTTCTTTCTTCAATAGAAACAACAGTTTGGTAGTTGAATCCTCTATTCCTCACTCCTGTCTCCGAATCTTGTACGTTAATATACTTCAAAGTCGCTTAAACATAGGTTGTCTGTGGACCGTCCTTCTTTGTCTTGCTTTGGACCCTTCCTCCCATGTTTTCTTCCCTTTCCGATAGTTTTTTTTGTAATTTTCGGAATAAGATTTGATGGCTATCCATAACCTTTGCGAAAATCATATTATCCGAACCAGGTCTTGCACCACCAATTCACAGCAGCAACTTGCCAAAAGTGACGCTGATGATGATGATGAGTTTGCTGTCACTTGGTAAGTACAACCTTTCCAAACCTAGCGCACATTCTAGCAAAAACAAGCGTTTGTGGACTAGTGTCAATGGGGATTCGAATTCACCGTCCACTTCACTCTGGAAATCGGTCAGTGTGGAACTTTTTCGTCCGGGACAAGCGGATTACAAGGTGTGTTCCGCATTTTCAACCAAAAAAAAAACAGTTGAGCCACTGGGTGTGGTGAGAATTTCTCTGATCATTTGCTTTTCCAACCTAATAGTTCCTGCATAAATCTTAGTAAGGCATTCTTGATGAGTTTCTAGCAAGGAACAAACTATGCTTTTGTTACTTGTCTCCTTTTCTGACTAATACTCTAAAGTTCCACGATTTTCTGGTGTCCGTCTAGTGACATCCATTCTTGATTGCTGATTTTCCGGATCGTGTCAGTCAATGTAAGGTGCTACGTTTCATTGCCTTTTCTATTTCTTCTGACACATTAGAAATACCATAATGGGATTAAATGAACAACGATGAAATCGGATAAGTCCACAAAGCCTGATGTCTTCATTCATGCTCCCACTTGACTGCGTTAGCGTAGTCACTAACAATGTGATTTCTGGGTTCCAGAGATTCGTGGTTACCAATTTTTGGACTGTTTTGACGATACCGATTCGAGTCTTTAGTTGCCCTTCACGAATGACGTTTGCATCCTCAACATGGTTTGGGTCCAAGATACACTTTCAATCTTATGTAGTACACCCTGGAGTCGCTGTAGATGTGGTCGTTGATAAAGAGCCTAGGTGTAGCAGATGTTAGCGTCCAGGATGTTTTCTGGAGTTGGCTGTCCTATCGATCACGTCTTTTGGAACAAATTACCTGAACATAATCAGTGCTGCTGACTTGAGTTGTATCGTCTCCGTTTTCAAACTATCTTTTCTCTTTACTTCTTTCACTTTATCTAGTTAGTTCATTAGTTAACCGTGGAGTCCCGCTGCATTCCCATTAGATATATGCTTTCGAACGTGTCTAGATCTTGTACGACTGCACAACGTGGATCGGAAAATGAGTTTGCCTTGACGTGGTGAGTCTTGGAACAATCCAATCCATATGATTTGTAGTGCAAATACGCGGCTGTGGAAATCTCATCAGACGTTTTCAGACACATTATGGATGTCTGCTTTAATCAACCTGGAACCGACACAGACGGATTACAAGGTGTGTATGTGGTCTGCGATACACTTTTTTTCGTAGAATTCCATTTCACTTTGGATCTCTGATAGTACCTAATGCGAATACTGTGTGCACAGGACCACTTCTCGGGACCAGTCGAATTAGATCGCTTTACATCCTATTTGCAATTTCGTTTTCACTGCAAATGATTTCTAAAACACCACTACCTTGCCACATGCTGTTTTAATCGCAAAGCTTCATGTCTGACATCGACCTCCTAATGTGGAATTCGGCTTGCGTAGTGCAGATTTCATTTTTCCGATCTGGTGAAAATCATTCTAACAATCTTTACGCGTTATCTGGTTTCGAACCTAGCCCGTCTGCTGCTCCGACACAATCCACACCAATACTGAATGCTGCCTGCTGATAAAATTATCATCCATTTCACTCCTACGAAGTGTACTTTACGTTGGTAGTGTTGGTTCAACCACGCCCCATTTCAGTTTTACTCAGACCTCTCTATGTAACACTAGTGCTGACAGGAATCAGATGTGAACTTAATTATCCCTTCACGTCGCTGTGAGACACGTTTAGTTTTTCTCGGCATAGGTCGGTGTGATTGACCTCAACGGTTATAATTGACACACGCCAGTTTACGCATGTGCCGACTTTTCGGCTGTGAAACATAAAACGATCGTCGGCTTTTTTGTATTCACTTAGGACACCCCTCGGTATTTAGGGTCATTTAGGGTCACTACTTTTTCGTCCTTTCGAACGGTTCAATTTTTCCCGTAGACAGCTCATCTCTGGGTTCACAAAGGACTGGGCTTGTATTCGAAGTGAATACACATTCTACCATTTTGTTATCAAAAGCAACACATCTGTTTGGTATTTTATGACCACATCTTATCAGCAGCGAGAACAAAACTTCGTAACATAACTTTTTCATCCATCTGTCAGGACATTGTTCCTAACCAGAAGTCCCTGTTGACGTAGACGTAATGCACAACTCATAAGGTTGCTGTAAGCTCGTCGACAGTCCACGACCGGTTTCGCTCTCCTTTAGGCTCATCAGGTAGGCGCAGTCCCCGAATTTCCCTCAACCCTATGTTCTACTTGAACCCGAATTGCACCAAATTTTACTTCTACACTCATTTGCATACCAATTTGGTTCTGACATGAGACTCACCTGAAACCCAGCTGCATATCTCGCTTGTGCTGTTTCCGAGCAACTGAATGTTCTGCACCTGACCGCCTCACGTTTCATTTTGTACGATATTCGAGATATCGCGATACTCTGTTCAGATGTAATGCACTACTCATAAGGTTTCTGAACACCATAAACTGGATCTTCAGCTGGGTTCCGGTTGAGTCTCTTGTCAAAACCAAATTGGTATGCAAATGAGTTTATTTGGTCGTTGGTATCTTGATTTCTTGCATCATTCCTGTTGGTTTGAGCTCCGTACGTAGACTCGGTGTTCCAAATTTGCCTTCTGTTTTGGATAACTTCCGTTCCCAAGCAGTTATGCGGACTTTGTTATTCCTTAATCCAGCAGAACGGTCTCTCTTTCATACTAGGACTTCTTGACACCTTTTGTAGGATCTCGCGATCTGATGCCCACTGCGATCTAACAGTAATCCTCAACTGTCTTGACAGTACTTCCCAAGATTCAAAGAGCATGTCTATTCTATGTGATCGGAACGGGCTGAGAAAATACAGCGCCCCTCTTCAGGGAAGGCTCTAAATGGACCTTCCTACTGAAATGCGGTCCTTCCTAAAGCCGATTAGGATCCAGTTTCCCGTCCTCTTCCTCCCCAGGGGGGAGATCACATTGGCAATATCTTATTGGTTTTGAGTTCCTGATCAATGGTTATACGAAAACAGTGGATGTAACTGACATGGTTGGTCACTTCTTGGTATATTGTCTTGTTAACAACATATAAAGTGCAATATGGGTTGAGGGTAATTTCCCAATAATTTCCTCCCAGCCTACATCCCCCCTAACACAGCTATCCTCTTTTTTTGTTCCTATCTGAGTAACGTCCTCCACAGTGTCTCATGATGCAGGTCAGGCAGTTCAATGCACTGGGTTGTATCCCATTCACAAACCCACTCGACCGTCGGATGTATTGAGTAGGTCCCGGAGTCCTAATTGAAAGTTTCATGATATCCTATCACAAGTTGTTAAAGTCATCGACATTCAAGTTTCTTTAACTGAAATACAGATGGTATTGGATATCGCTTATGCTGTCCATCCACTGAAGTGAATAGACATTCCGGACTTCTACCAGGGTGGACAATATTCATCGAGCTACCCAGGCCTAGATAAATTCCGGCACAGGACTTTTAGAAACTTATCCGCGTTTACGTGGCCTGATTTCCCATGTCTAATTTATACTCGCTTGTATCCAGTGCGCTGTGAGGAGAGCTTTAATTGAGTTAATACCTATACCCTTATTCTCCGGTTCAATATGTCCACTTGCAGTAAGTTTAGTCTTTTCCGAATCTAGGCGGGCCGTCCAGAGAATTAACAGAATGGCTGCAGCAAATAACTACTTCAGCATAGGGTCTTCTGTATAAATCCCAATCAGCCTTGAAATCTGTAGAACTTTTATTGCGCAACTTCCGTATTGTCAATTACAATCAACTGCAAGATTATACATACAGGCTCAGGAGCAACCATAGCCACACAGCTTCTAGCTTACTATCACGCTGCGGATTTTTGTACTACTGCGAACTACGAATTTCATAGTCAGTCGAATAAACAGCCTTCGCCTTGCTAGATAAACCAACCTATGCGCAGTAACCTTACTGGGTGCGCACCTTGCGATACACATGCATTCCTGTTCAGGTCACCACAATATAATCTGGTTATAGACGAAGTAGTAGATTAGAATCAATCATTTACTTCGTGTAATCCATGCGTAAACTACTGGTTCAAATGGAGTGCAACGCGTGTCAGAAGTGGCTTGCGGTTTCTATACATTGAGTGGGATTTTTCTATTATACCGTTGTACGTTACTGAGTCCAAGTTGGTTTCTCTTTCTGTTTCACTTTTCAACTACCCGCGAAGTTCCAGCCCGAATTTCCTGTATGTGTCGGTTGTTCATTCTTCCTTCTCTCATTTTTCCTCTTTATTTCAACCTTTCCCCTTCCAACACAACCTTCTAGACCGATCATATGTGAACATATCGATATTCCTGCTTTCATTTGTAGGTCTTGTACTGTGGCTTCACATCGCCCAACGGACGATGAGTTTGCCGTCCTTTGGTAGGTTCTTTGGGAGAGGGTTATTTAACCAATTTATTGTCGATCTCCAGTAAAAACAAACGTCTGTGGACCAGCGATTCCGTGCACGATGGTGTTTGGAACACAGCGCTCGTTGATTTGCTCAATCCCGTTGCTTCCGACTATAAGGTGTGTAAACACGGTATAATTTGCATGAGCAGCTTGTATTTTTCTTTGTGATGTTGATCTTAAGTAATTAAGTGAGTAGTATCCTGACATCAGATGCTTTGGGCAGGCATCTTAGTCATCTTTCTGATGATATCTCAGCAGTTTCTGTTCGTATTTGTAGAACTTGGAAGGGGACATTGACTTTAACGTGAAGAACTATTACTATTATTGAATGCGTATTTCGGATATATATTGCCTAAAGTCTTTGGAGCATAAAAACTGGGTTCATCAGTGAATTTCTTTTGGTTGTCGTAGCAGTAGATTTTGCACACATACTTTAACATTTTCTTATATCTCGGTACAAGTGAGCCGAATGGGTATTCGTGGTGTCGTCACGCTAGACCCCCGAATTTCCTTGACCTCGGGCTCTTTCATTTTTCAATAGATTTCATTATCAATCTAGACTACTTGGTAGGCGGCCAGAGGGTTTCGTGCAGTCGACTCATCCATGCTGAAACCCAGCATGAATACACATTCCGCCACGAGTGCACTCGTTGAAGGTCAAAGTATTGGATGTCTCGTGAATACTGTCATGTCTGGAACTAGCTTGTAAAGCAGTCATAATATAGATATCTTCCTTCTACGCATTCACGGCGACTGAGCATGCTTTCCGCCTTGGCATTTCCTATCTTCTTTCCTTCTTCTCGTCGTCTTGCCTACCTTCTGGATGGTTATCATTGTGCACCATTTTTCAGTTCGTGTACAGGTTTGAACGGACATCAGCGTTCTGGGGAGTTCTCTATTATCTGGTAGGTTGTCACTGAACCTTAACGCAGCGGTTAAAGTAAAAATACCATTATATGGACGTCGGAACCAGCTCCTATTGTTTCCGAGGGGAACCAGTGGATGACCGCTAACGTTGACCTTTCCGATCATCTTGGTCAGTCAGACTACAAGGTGCGTTTCAATGGAGGGCTACATTTGAATCTACATGTCTTTTGTCATTACTTCTGGAACTCTAGTTTTTAGGGCGGTTCGTTGACCCAAGTCGTCGCTTTTGCTGTGCTCTGCAAGCTTTTCTTGGTGTGGAGATAATTAGCTAGCATATACCGAATGACCAAACAATGTACCCGTTATTTGCCAGGTCAGACATGGGAGACACTCACCAGTTGAGCACCGTTTGGACAAGATGAACTCCTGCACTCTGGATAAAAGGATAGTGGTTGAACTGGAGCGACAGCGTTTAGGGTCAGATAGGAATTCACGTGAATGTTGAAGAGTACGTATGAAGGCTCGATGGAAAAGCCGGACAACAGTAGTAGCGGCTTCTAAAGTTTATACTTTCCGTAGGGGATGAACTTTATGAGTTTCTTGTTATTATCGCCGAACTGGTTATTTTTATCTTGGGCTGTCAGATTATATGTTTATTATGGTATTCCTTTCTTCAAAGTTTACGACATCGATTCCCGACTTGTTGTTTCCGCTTACCAGATTTCTTGTGGTTATGACGTGCTTTATTGCTAGACAGCTGAGACGCCTATCAAGTATCGAATAAGTCTTATATTCAAGCTTTACGTTTTTTTTTTGGAGCTCTTCGACGCGTTGGGCTATTTTGTGTGACTGGATTGCTTGGAGCTTTCTTTCCTTCGATTCTTCCTTTTCTATTCTCTCGCGAATACCATGTGCGTTTCAGCTAACAAGTATCGAATCTTATATTCAAGCTTTACGTTTTTTTTTGGAGCTCTTCGACGCGTTGGGCTATTTTGTGTGACTGGATTGCTTGGAGCTTTCTTTCCTTCGATTCTTCCTTTTCTATTCTCTCGCGAATACCATGTGCGTTTCAGCTAACATTAATCGTCAACTGTTCCACAGTTCATGTTCAGGTTCCAACGGTCAGCATCTTGGTGGGGAGTTTTCAGTTACGTGGTAGGTTGCACTTCCTTACATTTTCCCCGGTCTCAGTAAAAATACCCTTATTTGGAAATCTGTCTCAGTGGGACCGAACCTCGTCACCATCGGGTCCAATCCGTGGCTGACAGCCAGTATTGACCTGTCAAGCTACTCTGGCCAAGCCGACTACAAGGTATGCTTGAGGATTCATTCTTGTTTTCTAATTAGGAGAACGCCGGTAGCGCCGGTGACACAGATAACCGGTGATTGGTTTACTAATGTCGGTATTTTAATTGAAAATGTTTCATCGCCAGTCCAGATGACATCATCCGTACAGCGCTAAGAAGTGGGGTGTGACATTTGTGTCAGTGGTTATGCTTCTTCACGACCTATGATGTCCTCTCGATTTGCAATGAAACCCTTGTACTTAGATTGCCTAGCTCAGTGAATAGCTTCATGACCATCTGTTTTTCCGTGTTCTGTTCAGATAGCGAATGTTCATGAGCGAATATAGATCTTGCAAATATGTGACTCTTTCATTTGTTGATTAGGAGGGGCAGTTGTTTCACTCCAGCAAGAGCACTCTCTTCCAGCTTCACTTCTACCATAATTCCAAACACACGAATCTCGCTCCACACTCAATGCCGAATATTTCCCTTCATTTCGGTTACAACCTGAACACTTAATTTGAAGCGGTTACTCTCTTATTCTCAACTTGACTCCGAAGTACTTTGTTTGTGTATGTTGGCTGTACTTATTCCTTCTTCTTTTCCAACTACTAATAACTTCCACGGCATTTTTCTTGCTCTCGTCGCATACTCTGCTCACAACGCGTTTGTATTTCAGTTCTTGCATTTCAATGAAAAAAGGCCTGGATGGCGATACTTCAGTCCTATGGTATGCTCGGCAGCTGATTGACTAATTGGCTCACTCCTTTTTTAGTGAAAACAAAGGTCTGTTTAGGTCAACCCCTGGTATTATAGGTTGGAGCACAGCCATCGTGGATCTCAGCGGAGCATCTTCCGACTACAAGGTAGGATTGGCTGTGCCGGTTTTTGCGCAGACATTAACAGAAATTTCAGTTTGAATACAGTTTCTTAGATTGCGCAGTAGTTCCCGACAGTTCTCAAAGATGGTTATGTTGCAGATCAATCAGATCCCCAACGAGCCGCCTTGCTCATTACGCCTCACAAGTTTAACTTCACTGCTTGACCTCCAGTGTCTTATTTCTCAAAGTGCGTATGATACCTCACGAATGCCAAACACTGATGCTAAAATTCTCTATATACTTTCTTCTGGGGTGTGAATTACGTCTCCACGGGTTTGACTGCGTTTTGCACATTTCTTGGCTTCAAAACTGTTTCCAGTGTTGCTCAAGCCAACACCCTTGCTTCCTCCATTCTACCCCGTCCTTCTTGTTCAGTGTAGTTTGAGTCTTCATTTCCTTTCCGTCTGTCCAGATCTTGTAGGTCCCGGTTGGATCCTGAAACCAAAGAACTGGGCTTGTTTTGGTAGGACTGATCCTTGTTTATACTAACTTCGCTTCATGTTCAGTGGTAGCAAGTCACTTTGGAGTTCGACCACAACACATTCTGGTCTCGTTGATGGCTGGAATATCGTTTTCGTTGGTCTTGCTAATAGTGAAAACGATTTTAAGGTATTTCATCACTTCTAGGTTTCAGTTAACTTTTTTGGCTCCCATGATTCTTCCTAGTGAGTAGCACTTAGTTTAAGACATTTTGATATTTCCATTTGTGCCCATGATTTATTGCTTTTGCTGGAATAGAACAGCACACCTATTACCAAGAGACTGTTAGACTTTGTTGTGTTTATCTCATTCCAACCCGAGTTGACTCTTGCTCAGCTCAGGCCACGACGTCTTATCCACGTCACTTTACCTAGAATGGACATTAAATTTATGCTTTGGATACTGCTTGTACGTCCCAACATACTTGCTGGATTCGCTCTGATATTGTTAGAATCCAATAACAAGAAGATAAAACTTGGTAGTTGATGTTTCGGATGTCTTGTTAGAATCCAATAACAAGAAGATAACCCATTCATAAAACTTGGTAGTTGATGTTTCGGATGTGCTAACCATACTAGCCCCGTAGCTGGATAGCTGCTAGACTACATGGGGTGCAGATAGATTCCACAGTTTGCAGGGCAAAGCCTACCGAGATCGATATGAAACTTAGCTCAGCTCTGATGTAGGTGTCTTTCAAGTTTAAGTGAGCCTATCTCTCTTTTGGTTGTCCAAATGATCCCCCTAGAATTGGACAAATGAATGGATATTCTGACAATCACATGCTTTTTAAAGCAATCTATACGGGTAACTCAGCAATGATTAGATGACCAATAGGAGCCCACAGATGAATATACATCAAACGGTGTTCATACTGTACTTGAGCGACTTGTTTCTCATCAGCGTTTGAAAAGAGTAAAGTAACTGCTGTTATTTTGATCTAAGGATAGAGTTCAGTTACAGGTACTTTACGTACTTTACTCAGTAGAAGAATACACATAGGCCCTTTAACATTGAGATGCACACGAAGGTGGATTATATATTCCTGCACGGATTTGAGCCTCATCTGCCTTATTTGGCTTTTTCACTGAAGCCTACTGTGACCTTGCACGTCGAACGGGCTGTACATTTAAGTCGCTAAACTCAGGGCATACGATAATGTGTCCATCGTATGCTTCCACCAATACTTCCTAACCAGGATTCTGTGCACTTCTCGTCAAGTAGCCTAACTACGTTTTACCACTCAAAGACAACTCGCACCCGGGTAGCAAACCGGTGCGCCGTAAGGTCAGCCTAGCCATGCAACCCTTTGAAATTGCAGCGTGTAGTATGGTAGATATTCGATCAAAACACTCAGCTCGATCGACTTATTCCAGCAACGGAGATATTCAAGTTATCCAGTTGTCTAACTTCAACTGGTAACAATGGTTAGAGGTAGAATGTCGTAAAAGTGTAGTTAGAAGTTAGAATGTAATTTTCACGCATTTAGATGGGTTTCTTTAAGTGGGAAGCTTCAGCTAGACGGCATGACGTGATATCGCCTGGGTTGGAACCATAGACTGAAACGTGGTATGGACGTGGCTACTTTGCTCCAAACCTCGTCATTTAAAATTACTAATTGTCTGACGTGACAAGGTCCCAAATAGCGCCTGGCTATACGTTCGAGCTTTCGTGTGCATATCAATGTTGAAGAACCCATGCGTGAACTATGCGAATGAATATGAAGGCAGCTCAGTCTCAAAGTCCAGCATCGAATAATTGAGCGTTCCCAACTGTTAATTTGGGTCCAACAGCAAGATGTCCAAGTTCTAATTTACTCAGAACCAGTAGATCCGCACCTTTAATCTATTCGGTGGTACCATTTTAATGGGGATTTTATCCTGCAAGTGAAGTTATTCTGTGCTAAAAAGCCGAGGAACATTGTACAGCTCTTCCATCCTCGTCAATAGTCATTGGCAGTGCATAGATCGCGAAACTGTGGGAAGTTTCGGACTCATCGTCTTCAGATTAGTAGTGCATGGTGGTATTTCTCTGACACGAGCTGCTCAGAAAGTAAAACAACCCATAATTTGCCTGGGCCTTCCTCTTGTTGGTCGTCGTTACTCGAGGAGCCAGTCGGCATGTAAAATCCCTTGACTGAAGAAGGGTTGACTCTATATCATTCCTAAGTGAGATTTACTTACATTGTTGATCAGCCGCTTGTAGTCGAACGGTAGGATTTTATCCTGCAAGTGAAGTTATTCTGTGCTAAAAAGCCGAGGAACATTGTACAGCTCTTCCATCCTCGTCAATAGTCATTGGCAGTGCATAGATCGCGAAACTGTGGGAAGTTTCGGACTCATCGTCTTCAGATTAGTAGTGCATGGTGGTATTTCTCTGACACGAGCTGCTCAGAAAGTAAAACAACCCATAATTTGCCTGGGCCTTCCTCTTGTTGGTCGTCGTTACTCGAGGAGCCAGTCGGCATGTAAAATCCCTTGACTGAAGAAGGCTTGACTCTATATCATTCCTAAGTGAGATTTACTTACATTGTTGATCAGCCGCTTGTAGTCGAACGGTATAGTCTTCAACTACTGGTCTGGAAGTCGCGGGGTTGAATCTCCTCGGATATTTGTGTTGGATGATGATCCCACACAAGTTTCAGACAGCTGTACGGTGCTCAGCCTTTCAGCGTAGATTAACTCCACTTGCAAGACGAACCATAAGATGTATGGAATAGGATTATTTTCCTCCCATACATTGCTCATATAAGAAAAGCAACTTCACCCTTGCCTCTCCCTTGTTCTCTCTCTGTTCGACAGCTAATTTTAGAAGGAACTATTCCTGCCGGATATCCGGACGCTCGTATATGTGTGGACAACATTACCTCTTACACGGAGCCATGCAGTGGTAAGTGGATTTCCGTCTTTTCTTTTTTGAAAGTTGAAACATACCGGTACCGATTTTGGCGTCTAGCCCCTGCCTTAGAGGAAACGACGCCAGTGTACAGTGCTTCCAATATATCGAGATATTCATTACTTGAGTGCGTTAATTGGTTGTATATCTGCTGTCTGTTTATCTACAACCAAGTGCACCAAGTATTGCGTCCTCAGCATCGATGGTTGAACAAGCAAAACTCACCAGCGAGCCAATGTGTTACACACCATGATTGGTCTCTACCACAATCGTTAATTTTTCGTCCGTTCTATTGGATTTCAAACAGTTGAGAAATCGCCATTCGTCATTGATATTGGGACGCTAAGCTACTAAAGATTATTCTAGATCTGACCCGAATTCGGTACGACTGAACTCAACAGTAAAAAATTAGATCAACCTGTTGTTATGAGAATAGGGCGATGGATAGATAACAAATGCCTGAACGATGGCTACGTCGGTCAGTATGAGAGTATTCTAGTACAAGAGCTATTTTGTAACACTCCGTTGCCTGGCGTATTCACCTAGTAGTTGAATCCGTAAAATGATCTTTTGTGCGATGGATACAAACTCATGACTTTTTGTAGTAGTCCAACCTTTCAGGTTGAATATACGGGTGTGTTGGGTGGAACGCGAGTCACGTTTACCTATGCCCATCCAGCGAATCTAAAGTTTATGGTATGTGTAACGCCGATCGAGTACTACGTAGGCGAGAGCCGTGGATGCACTTTTCTGTCCGTGAAACGAGTCCGCAGTTAGTTTCCTCATGACTCTTAGGATTTCGTGTAACACAATGGAATGCACTTTCACCGGCCAAGCTATTGTTGAGTCCTAAACAAACCAATAAAGTCGATTCTTCCTAGGGAAATTCTCAAGACGACCGTACAACACAATAGAAGATAAGCAACAGGTTCAGTTGCCAGTATCAGTATGAATGATATCAAAAAAACAAGGACGTATATTTCGACAATGAGACTTTAAAGTTTATAGCACCACTAAATGTTTAGACCAAATATTGGAGAAATAAGAGTAACATAAAACTTTCGAAAAGTTTAGCAAATTGCCTTGTCCGTTCATTCATAGATTATTCCTTTGTGTTAGACATTATCCACCTAGCATCTATTGTCAACTGTCACTAACCTATCCATTATCGGAAGAAACGGGAAATGCCTATTTCTTTCCATTACAGTTATTGTAGTCTTTTTTATTCCGATAAAATCTTTTTTCACATATGTACACTGTAGCCGTGATTGGACGTATATAGAGGTGAAAATTCGTGCGCCCCATCAGGTGCGCTTCCATCAAGAGTGCACACCCTTCAGAGGGGATGTACTATTCTCATGTTACGCACATGAAGTCAGATTGTCAACCGCCATACGAATGTACTCCTTTTATCTTATAGACTTGTTCGAACGGTCCCCTTCCTTCTTTGATACAATCATTTTAGGTAAATCTACACCACGGTGGTGCAGTTAGACATCATTTTAAGTCCTTAAATACACTTGTATTGATCGGTTTTCCTCGTATGTTTCAATATACTTTTTCGCTACCCGTTTCCCGCATTTTGTTGTCCCTTGAACTCAACGCTTGCCCTTCCTCCGCCACGGTAACTTGTTTCATGTTCTATCTTATCCACCTGCATTTCAGCATTGCAAAAGACTGCGGCCGTGGTTTCGAACCACTGGAGTTGGGCTCAATACTTCGGCATCACCTTCATCACTGCCCTGATCCTTGGACTCACAATTCCGATCGTGTTCCTCGTAATTCTCATCTGGGCCTGTCGTCGACGTCACCACAACATGAATTCTCCATACACGGACAACAAGCTCTTCTCCACGAATCTCTGGTACTATATCGGTGGGAAGGAGATACATGACGACCCGACTGGTTTTCGAGGGGCCTCTAGCCTAATTCGGTCGAATAAGCATTGTAACACTTCATCCGGTGCAGGTACACTGAGGAACAATACGCAGATCGTCCCAGATGTGATGGATTTGCCCGATGTAGTGATTCCTGGAGGTCGGGTGGTGTCGTTCAACTACAGTGGGAATACTTTGGGTCCAGGTGGAACTCTCCGTCACATGTCACAGACTAATAACCAGCTTATGCAATCAACAAACTGTTTCAACACGGGTCTAACCATGGGGACTGTATCCTCACAAAGTTCGGGAACTCCTGCCACCACTGTCGGACGTTCTGGCCCGGATGGAGTACTTCAACCGGATCCAAATTTTAACTTCCAGCAGCAGCAGCAACAACAACAACAACAACAACAAGCCCAGCCAGCCCCGTCCGATCCGATGACAGACATAGTGGACTGCTTGGAGGTAAGTTTGTATTCTCATCTCTCCAGCTTGCAACTACTAGGTAGGTAGCCTGTCATTCCTTCTGAAGTGATTCATTGATGTAAGTGTGTTTAAAGCAAGGATTTTCCACCTGATAGACGAGTTATCCGTGTGGATACATCTTCCTAGTTTCCACAGCTCCCTCAGCGTGATCATCACTGCTAAGATAGTCATTTTTTCGTATAACGCAGGCAGATTTAGTTTTTTTCGGTCACGTCCTTGCAAAACCATTCTCCGGTTTTCATGGTCGATCACCGCTCGTTTTACTTCATTTTTATGCCGGTATATTTATGTTAGTCCACACCTTCCAGTTCTCCTATGCTTTCTCATCAATTTTCACAGCATGTCTTGTTCTTGTATGTTAACTGACCGTGTATCGTATTTTGGTCCTCCTAGTCCCCGGTCAACTCCCAATGCTCATGACACAGTCAGTATCGCCAAACTACCGTGCTGAATCGAACGCTGGCCAATTCCATGACACAATGGCAAGTGATACTGTTATTAGTGTTATTATCTAATGTTAGCAGAACCGTGCCTGTTGATTCGACAGACACGCACTCAATTTCGAATGAACACTTGTCCACGGTCATTCTCGTCGTCTCATTGTTGCTGCATACGATCTCCCTGGTTAACAAACGTTTCTTTCATGGAGAGATTTTCTGTTTATCAGGGAAACCACTCTCTTCCACCAAAGTAATTGATACCAAAACACCATACCACCACATTATTTTTTCAAGGCTCGTCTTCATCGTGGTGTAGCCTGCTTGACATAACCACAGAGTGTTCAAGTTAGGAAAACCCGATAGGAATAGGATACAATCTTCATGTTTAGGAACCCCAGTCAGAGCGGCCTATATCCTACTGCTTGAACCATCCGCTCGATCATGTAACGCGTGGACTCAAGACGCTATTTAAAGGACAGTATCATATATATCATTGGGTTTCCGCTTTCTACACTTCGAATTCCGATCAATGAGATCGGTAAATTCTCAGTTGTAGCCGTCAAGATTTGATCTAAAACTACTGCTATAGACGCTTCGAACAATATTTTAGCCAGGTATTTCTATTATACTGTAACTGCCTTCCAGTAACGGAAAAGAATCTGAATAGCCATCCAATTGGATCAACCTTGTACCTGCCATTGCAGTGAAGATAGACCTTGTTTGAAACTTCGAAACGTTTATGTTTCTGGAGATTCGCGCCCCTTTTCCTGGTTGATAGACTTCTTGGAGAGTAAATTTCGGATGCAATTTGATCGGACTGCAGATGATCCTTACTGCAGCTACCCTTAGTTTCCTTCGCTGAGCAAAGGTTGACTGAGTGGCTGCGTCCCAACTTTTGGTACTCTCCACACACTGATTATGTGTTCTCTTCCCATGAACATTTATCCTTGAAGCACAGTCCACGGCCGGTGAATTGAAATGACATACTGTCGTGATTAGTTGACGTCTGACCTTCCTCATATGGTTTGGGGACCTCTGTTTAGTCTCATAGCGGAAGCTGACTTACATACTTACCTGATGATTATGAATCGTTTCCCGGCAGTCAATTCTACTTCAACCAAAAGCTGTTCCTTGATTTCAAGGGTACTTTCGGACTTCTCAGCCGCTTATGCAACAAAGTATGCTCCAGAATTAACCAGAATTAATTTAATCAGTTACTTCTATTTCCGTACTTATGGGACTGTGAATTTATATCGGGAGCTTTCTAGGAGCTTCCCTGTGAACACTGGCACCCAACAAGGAAGTTTAAGATCGTCATTAATGAAGTACTGGGGTGAATTCTGGATGGTGTTCCGATTTTCCCCGTTCTTCGAATCGCTCCGAGCGAGAACCCTGTTGATCTGGAATGTGCAGACGTTACTGTTCTGCTGAACACGGAGCGCAAGTATTACTAGACAAGCTGAGCAAAGTCGTCCGATACTGGAAGTTGTGATAGACCGAGTCAGTACACAAATCCCGAAGGCCGGAATTATTTTTGCTAATTTGCGCCCATTGAGGTATCGTTAGGTCTCAGAGGATCTGTGTGAGAAACTAAGCTGCGAGTGTTTTGTGGTACGGCTGCGAGCTTTGGCGACCCCTCGGTTGTTCTTGGTAGGCTCTCCATAGGTCCCTTCCCAGTCCCATTTCTCCGTTGTAGTGCCTTATTTGAATAAATTGACATGGTTTTACAGCAGTGGAACACCAGTATTTTTCTATAGTATTTTTGTCAATAATGATCTTGATACTGAGATGACATTCATGGATTCTCACCAATAAGTGGTCCCGTTCAACTCTGTTCTCCCCTTATTGTGTGTCTATATGTTTTTTGCAGAATACCGTAGGCAGTACTGGACAGTATAACACGTACGCCCCATCAATGTTTACAACATCCCAACCACAATATCAACCACAACAGCAGTCAGTTATTCAGCCGCAAGTCACCGTTGGCGCTTTCCAACAGCAACCTGTACAACAACATCAAGTCCAGTCGTATCCGACGCCAGTGGGTCAGCCCCAACAACCCCAGCCAGTTGTTTCACAACAACAGCAAGTACCCTTACAACAACAGGTATTGCCACAACAACCGCAGCAACCTATCCATCAACAGCCGCCACAGCAAGTTCAAGCCACAGGTGTGCAATTCTCACAACCCACGGCAAACCAAGCGCCGCAGCAACAGCAACTAAGCCAGCGGCGTTCCATAATCCAGCCCTTCCAACTTCCGCCACCACAACAACAGCAGCAAACTCAGCAGCACCAGTCTTTTGCTGCCCAGTTGCCGAATCAACCGGTATCCGTCCATCCACAGGTGCAGTCACAGCAACCGCGAGCGTCCGTACCACAACCGCAACCACCCCAACAACAACAACAACAACCTCCAATCCAACAAAATATTTACCATATGGCGACGGGGTCTCCGAATGCCCAGTTCAATACGGCTGCCACACAGCCTGTAAGCACTGCACCTAACACTCAACCTATCGCTGCCGTCACCCCCACCACTCGGGTACCTGCCACCCCTGTGAGTTCACTGCAGTCAGATTCACTCACTGATGCTGACCAACAAGCTGCCATGGCTGCTCTGTTTGCTGCCACTGAAGAAGCTGAGTTGTCTGGGGAGTCAAACTTCGTCGGAAACGGTATACCTGCCAGAGACATAAACGACACTTACATGGATGCCGCCCACCCATCGATCCGTGAAGATCATCCTCCGCCTGGATATGATGAAGCGATCGGCCTGATCTTACCCCGCCCAGCACAAAATGGCGGCAATAATCACCACGTCAGCAACAATGCCCATAACATGTTCATATCACAAAACACAATGGCGAAACCGGCCCTACCGGTTCCAAGCACAGCTTGTACACCACCACCTGCACTTCCACCACGGCGTGTTGTTAACGGAATGGGTCTGGAGGACATAGAAGATCCTCAACCGGGCGCCTGTTTGTCTTTGGCCGAACGTTATGGTCTCCCCGTGGCGGAAATCTAAACGAAAACCAACATCAAACTCGTTTTCGATAGACTTGTTCTTTTTCACTCGCCTCACGAACCTTTTCTTGCTTCTCCCGGAGGATCCCTTGATCTATGCGAAGTAGTTGTCCTTTCTGGCTTTGGCTGTTTCTTTTCATGCTTCTCCGATGTTCCACGGATGGGTGTTTTTTGCCTCCAACAGCTATTCTGTCTTTACTGGTGGTGTTGCAGTCCAGTTGGATAGCAAGTCGTATTAGACTTCCACAAAATTCTTCACCATGTTATCTGAGATTCAGCAATCTCTCGTCCATCACACGTATCTACTGTTGCGCAATCTATGTGTGCTACAAACGTGTCAACTCATGCTCTAGAACATTTTGTGCTTACATGCTGCTAGACCTCCATGTCATTAACCGAAAGCCCTTTCCCTAAACGCACCATATGCAACAATTCACTACCACCCTGACAGGCCCGATCCGGTCAATTCAAGTTTGCTGCATACCGTTATCATTATCATCTGTCGCTCCATTGACAGCTGTCACCGCAGCCTCATTTGTCGTCGTAGTAATTTATTCATTTTACTTTTTCCAATGCTTGTTGTCATCGTCATTTTATGCTTTGCTTCTTATCGTCATTTACCAAAATCATTTTCGTTCAGTTTTGGTTCAGCTTCAAGCCGTACGCGATCGTAGTGTACCAACTTAATTGTTTATTCTAGCCATTTTTATTGCGTGTTGTACGTTTTTACATCCACTTGCCACATGTCTACATTGTGAACCTGCTCTATGCTTCAATACATCTCATCCCTACCACGTGGTCTTTTGTTAGTTAATGTTTGACTACTAAGAAGTATCATAGTAGCGTAGTTAATTTTCGCTGGGGAGTGACTGGCACTCCGTCCTCGATGACTTCAAGCACTTTCGAGGAGGCTTTGTACGGTGAGGCTTTTGGTATTTTTTTGTTCCCAGTCGTTTTATGTTGTTAGGGGAGCTCTTGAATTTCAGGCTGCAGCAGACGGCCTGTGATTTCTTCGTTCAGTTAGGCCATTTGATTACAAGCGTTTAGCCAGCAACCTAGGTGCGTTGGTTTTTGGAGTTAGAGGGCTTTGCCTCAGTGTTGGTGCGATGAGTAATCGTGTGCATATGTTCATAAACATCCTGTGATCCTGGACACCGATCTTTGATCATAGTGTGATGGACAGTTCTGTTGGTTGGGCTGTTGGTCCCTGTCCTGTTTCGTCAACGTTCGCGTTACTTTTTAACTCGGCCTCTCGCCTTCATTCCTTCACTCGTACCTGGATGTGCTCGGACTTCGCACCTTCTGGGTTCCACACGTGAACCTATGTTGATGTGAATTCAGGAGGTCCTGCTTCTTAACTTGTTAATCCGGTAGCCACTTCTACTAGAGTATTCCATCCAAGGCACTGGTCCTTCGTACATAGTCGTACTTAGGTTGGGTCCGTTTGGGTATATCCGCATAGAAACTATCATAGATTATCATGCTTCTTAGTGACCTCTTTCATGTGGTGTCCCCGCGTTTGTGGATTTCTGTGTTTTCAGAGTACCCGCTTCGTGGAGTTAGTGTGGGTTTCAAGGTTACAAAATTATTCGCTTTATACCATCAAGGTGCCTTGCTGTGGTTTGGGGTGGAGCAGTGAGCCCTTTGACTTGCACACGTGCATACATTTCAGACTTTAAAAACAACGTTAGGCAGAATATATAGGACCGGTATCACCCACCAACTTCTCTTCAAGGGATAACTTGATGGAATATAGGAGTATTTAGCCTGTGCGGTTGACAAGTCGTGACTTCCCAACACCAGTTATCTGATACTTCCTATTGCACGAAATCTTGAAGTTTGAAATTCATTCAGGAGTCAGAAGACTAATCTACCATACGCAAAACAAATGGACAACAGTGTCTTTGTTGAAGGAGGTATGATTCTCAACCTCATTGCATGGGTCGCCTGATGCGTTGTTTTTTGGGAATTTCTTTCGCTGAGAGCAATCCTTTGTTCGCGTGTTCGGATTCCTTTCCATCCATTTACACTGTAAATGTCATGCATCGAATGCAGCCAGGTGATCCACGTGAGCTATTGCAACGGTTCCAATCGGCTCGAAGTTATTTTTGAATGAACTAAGGATATGTTTTAACAGCGTAGTTAGATTTGTCAGTTTGTCTGTTTACATTGTAAGAGAAAATGGTTGCAGTTTAACCGCTTATTTCATTTTGGAAGCGATGATGAGGTTTTCTAGTCTGTACCAAGTGAATCTACGGATCTTCGATCAGTGTATTCCTGAAGCAGTACGTTCGGTGTTCAGTTCGAACTGTCTTCTAGCAGAACTAAGATCACCTGGCCATATACGGTTGGCCAATTTGGTGTTCACGTACTCGTGTTCTGTGTCTTGCGTGTGGATGATCCATATTTTTTCCCGAATCCTCTTTCTCGTCTAATCATTCAGATCAGTATTCGAATCTAAAACATCATAATGCCTCGTCAACGATCACTTCAAGCGCAGAATAGACTATCGCCTGTCATGTTTACTGGCCATCCGGCACACCTGTGGGAGACAGATGTGTTTGGTCTGTTGCCAGTAAACCCAAACGGGATCATTTTATCCGACTATCGATGAAACTTCTGGAACGGTAACGCGTATCTAGATGTACTGAAGAAAGTGGTCATCCTTTAGTCTATATGCTTTAAATCCAGAAGCTTCCAAACTGTGCCACAACACTGGGGAGCCAACGGAGTAACAGAGATTTAACTGCACACTGAAACTGATAACCGGTATGCACCTGAATTTTAATGGATGAGGTGGTCACATTTGCGACTGGTCAGCCACGAGAGGCTCCTTGGGCTTATGTGAACCCTAGGTGAATGTAAAGGGATTCTAGACACCAGCCGTCCAATAATGGTCAGCGAACTCGTAATCTTGAAGTCAGTAGTCTGAAACTGCTATCCTACTTTCTCCTGTACTGAAATGCTGGATTTCCCATTATTAATAGACTTACTACTACCTTCTGATGTAGGACCCGATATCTACCGCCCTGTTATCTTGAACCATGTGCATCTGGAGCATTACGGAAGTTATTTTAAGTTCCTCATCCGAATCGTTGATGGCCTTGCTTCCGCTTAGATTAGATTCTCAAGCCACATTCCTCGAGAGTGATTTGCAAATGAAAAATGGTCTGTTCGCAAGACAAAAACACTTAGCGATGTATAAGTGGACAGAGTTCAGACTAGACCCCAGTTAGATATCGGTCCATATCTGGATTCGAGTAAAACCAGTAGGTGGTGGCTGCATTCCACTGTTTGGAGCACCGACACTCGCTTTGATCCTAGCTGTCTACATACCTTCAGAACCGTGTAAATTAGGTTTATTGCACCGCCTCTTTTTGGAAGATAAGATTGGTTTGAAACTACGAGTAACTGCCGACGTANGTAACACTGCGAGTCTCTCCCCGTACGTGTATATATATATATATATATATATATATATATATATATATACCCCACAAGAAAGATTCTTCAGTATTACCACGGCGGACCAATATCCATCCCTCATGAACGACTAGATTTATCTTTTCTTTGGTGTGGTACCTTTTGAGAGGTTAAGTGTGGAACACCCACTTTACATTTATAGTTGGTTTTGCCACTGTCTATCGCAACTTGCTTACTCATGCAGAAAACACCCGACAAACTCGTTCTCTGAGTTTTACTGCCGATAAAAATTGGCTTGGAGTGAACTCGCATTAGATTTCTGTTTTTCCTAAGTGATTTCCACATGATCAGCTTATTTCATATCGACTGTCTTGTAAAACTCTTCGTAGTTCTCTTCATGAAACAAATCTACAAAAGAACACTGTTATCGATTCACTATTTTTTCGGCGAGAGCATAGCTCTTTTCTTCACTTAGTTCCCACAGCCTCAGTAGACCTCAGACCTCAACCGACCAATGTCCTGTGAAGCCAGTGTTTGTTCACTCAGCAGACTCACGCACACTAGACTTTCAGAGGTACTTCTATGTGAAATCGTTATCCAAAAACGGCGAAATATGTCTGGATCAACAACCTCACAACACCTAATGCCCTAACGTTGACTCGATCAACTGAAACAATCTTCATTGAGTTCATATTCTTCGGTCTGCTTGCTATGATACTTCAGATGATCAATCTCGCTGACCAGCGACACCAGGGATAACCAATTTAGCTAAGATTGGTGCCCGAAGATTTTGTTTTACCATAGCTCGACAGCTGTCAACTTACCACTTGGTATTAGCCTACTGGGACTGATCACTCTGTATGACTTTATCCCTTACTGTTGACTGCTTGAACGTAACCGTTGCCCATTAGGTTTTGTTCGCTGGGTGCCTGTGTTACAAAACCGCAGCCTTTTGTTAATTAGTCATCAGCTCATGACTACTCCCTGCATACTTGAACACGTATACACTTTCCTATGTCTCACGTAGCAGCTAACTGCATTTACCGTTCTATATTCTAATGAATTATTTCATCATTTTAGATGGAAATCGATGTGTGTCTTGATCCAAGGACACATGACTCCTTCGATTCAACAGTGTCTCGCTCACACAAACATAAATCTTCCATATGCAGACGTTTCGTGTTCGCCGTTGTTCATCTTACCCACCAGAAACTCAATCCGACCGAATTGGATACACGCCTGAATCCACCGACCCCTCTACAACTTTGCTTTGCAATGCGTCGGTCAATCGATTCATCGATCATTGACAATTACGGTGACCTTTCCGGGGCACGTATACTTAGCTATGACCTGTTATTGTGCCGCAAAAATCCGGCTACTGACACGCATTTGAAAACACAGGATCTTACCTGGTCATTGGTTTTATCCGTTCCGGGACCACACATTCCGCAATTGCTCAGTTCACTGAGTTTTATGACGACTCAGGGCGGTGGGGATGAACTGCTGGGATTGTTGCTTGATTCTACTGGACTGAGCAAATCTGACTGTATATTGTACGTGGATGTGATTGGTGTTTATCGTACATTGTTCGAACTGCCTCTTGACCATTTTGTGGAGAAAAAACCGTTGAAAGCTGATTAACTCTGGACTTTCGTTAAAACTTTGGGAGTGGTTTGTAGTTGCAAATGAGTAAATAGCTTAGTCTCCAGGCCTACGTAGCTGACCTATCGTTTATTCGGTTAACTTGGGAACAGATCCTAATCTACGATGCTTGCAGGTCTTTAGTATCAATGCGCACAACACTGACCGCATAATTTGATCAGGTAAATCCACCCGGAGGAATGGATTTTAAATATTCTCATCAGTAGCTTAGCAGTTTCCAACATAGCAAACATAGCCTAAAAGAAATAAATTGAACCAGAAAAATCACTAGCATGCCAGTTAAGTGGAAGTTCTGATAAATAAGGAAGGATTACAAAAACACGGTTTTGATAGCACCCCTTCTGACAGTTACAGCTATAAAATGTGCAGTAGAGTTATGAAGGTGCTGAAAGTTTACAACAGCTCTCAAACGAGGGTATTACCTAATCTGCTTATTTCCTGGTGACCGCAATTAGTGGGTTAGGATAGACTCAAGGTCTTCATTTGCCCGTTTTGGTGAGACTCGGAGGGGTCAAACAACCGAATTACGATCGCTTCATCTGTTTCCAATCCTCTTTGGCACACGGCACCCGGTAACTCGCCGTGAACGATTCCAGCAGGTTCACCTTGTGGTGTGAGCCGCAATCACACTGGTCACGTATGCGCATGAAGGTCGAAGGGTCATACGATCGAGTTTCGTGAACATATGCAAAAAGATGAATAAATCATGGGTGATGGATCACGCACTAGCAACCTTTACTTGAGGTTGGCGTGGGGCAGTGGACCACTACTGAAGGATACCGTTATTCAGTCTGCATTGAACTTCCTTTTCAAGAGATATGACGACGGTTTAGCCTCCCGAAAACCATGTCGCTTCTAAAGGGAATGCTGATTTTTGATAAATTATACGGATATCCGTTTTTCATTTGGACTCTGGGGATTAGCTGCATTTCGTTATCGACGCTATCACCGGTACAAACTCTGTGGGCTCTGACTATAGCTAGACATTTTACTAGCTTTCTCCTGCATCTGGTGTCCACAAAGCAGTGGAAATTGATGTACTAGTTAGACCATATGGATCTCTGAAATGTTCTCCTAAGCGACTCGTTTTGTCTCCCTATCAGTGGAACATCCAAACTTATCATCGGTTTCCTTACTTCCTCTCCAGTGAAGCTGAGTGCAGATTGAAAAAACTCAAGGAGCCATGCCGTCATCATGCCAGATGATAAATATATTGTGCGTATAACGTTTGCAAAGTGGTAGTTGTTTAACGGCTGGTTTTAAAACAATGTGCTCAAGTTTGCTTACAAAATTATCAGCTGCTTCGGACTCGGAGTGATCGGTTTGGTCGTCGCTCATCTGGTCGATACCAACCTCCAGATCAATCCGGTGTAATCGCTCATATTGGTCGTCCTTGGGTCGTGCGTCAAAAAGCATCGGGAACAGCCCGGACCACTACCGCTCTGTCGTTTGATCCCTTTGTGTCTCACTAACAACGGTACACATAGGTCTTGAGACTGTATGAGACTTGAATGAAAGCACTGACCAATAAACTTGGTCGGGTGGACAACTGCCGCCTCCTTGAATAGGGAACTTACGACTCAATTAGTTGGTGGCTGATGGAACTAACAAACAAAGCTCTCTCACGCGGTCAGTGGCGTCCCTGCTTCAAACCTATGGCCATCAGTGTGTAGCTGTCCAGTTTCCCGTTTCTGTATCCAATTAGAATGGTTCAGCATAAACTAACTTAGTATCACATCGCCTGCAGTATCCGGCTGTATCTCCTGCCCTCCGTTTTCTGTTGACTGAAACTGTGTTAGCTGGTACAGATGCAATCCGGGTGCCTGTTTTATAGCTGGTATACTTAGCTGAACCAAAGCAGTTCAGCTGTAGTGGCGTTTATGCGTACACTAGTAGGACTGACAGAAGGGTTGAAACACGATCAAATCAGCACGTGTCCATGAAACTGTGCCAACCCAACTGCGTTCAAATCTTGTATCAAATCATTGATTGCCGGGCATCTATTTTGACAAAACAGAGCTAAACTCGACTTCTGATCATATCAAGAAACGGACAGCTATACAGATAAAATATTCTCTAGGCCATACTAAGTTATCATTTTAAGCCAGTCTTCTGCGTTCGGAGAGATTCGAAATTTACTTTGAGTCGGCGATCGTTTTGTCGATTGATTTAAGCCCATAGAAACGATACGAACTGTACCGTATTGTCTCCCATACTGTGTTAGGCGTTTTTCGGCGGAAAGGTTCATACTATATCATTAAAAATACCTCAGTCACATTTTTAATATCTGGTTGAAGATATCCAACCAGTTTTTCCCGCGGTTTATTTGTCTTGTCAATTTCACAGCAAAACCAAAAGTTTGCTCAACGCACATTCTATCCGGATACCGGTATTCATCTGCCCTGATGGAACAATGCAGCATAACCGCATCCCAACGGTTGATCTTGTTCTGGTTCGCTTATTGTCTGGGAGTATAGGGCTAATTAGGGGAATTGGAGCTCATCTGTTTAGTTCTTTTGCCTTGTACATTCGGAGCCACAGTAGGTCGAATAGGGCATACGAGATGAACCTCACTGCGATTTGTAAAGGATGTCGCGGCAGACAAGGTGGTACTAGTGTTGTATTTAAAGAGGTCGGTTCGGATCAAACTGTTACACTGATTATGCTGTCTAATTGTTTCATTAGTTTATTTGGGTTTGTCACCGAATAAATGTATGGAGAATCTGCTGAGCCTCCAACCAATCAGTCTCTTCAACTTCGATTATACCATTGATAGCGACTCTTCTGTTACTATTTTCCTATCTGCATACCTCTATTTCCGCCTATGTGACAAACTGCGACTCTTGTAATGTCTTACTTCGTGACATGTGACGGAAGCTGTGGTGTAAACTTTCCTCCTGGGGAAGAGGGAAAACAGTGTTTGACATGGGACAATTCATCATGCTTCATTGTGTGTGACCGTACATGCCAGATAGCTGAATATTTCTTGAAAGGCAGGGTTAGAGAGTGACTGATTACTCTTCCCCCTGTCGACTTAGCGGTTTATCATAAAGTCAGACAAGATGGTCCACAGGCATTAAGCGTAACTCTTCCCAGTACTGACAGTCGGTCCGAACTAGTCCACACTTGTCGGAAGATAAATCGGTCCCGAACCATAGACTCCCGCTCAGACGCGCGTCACTTGGTTGTTTCAAGTCCTGATCATCTAGCCTTGACATCATATTCTACACACCTATTTATGGTTCTTATAAACAGTTAAAAAAAACAGTGAAAATCCATTGTTTTCCCTCAGAAAGGACTTGCAAAATATTTGGTGTTAGGATGCTTTACCATCAGCACACAGAGATCAATAGCAGATAAGTTAGGGGCATGGGTGGTCTGTCAAATACAGCTGGTTTCTCCCCGAGAGACCTAAATGGTTCCGTACGGCTCAAAAAAGCTCCGAAGAACCAAACAATGACCCTCCCTTGCACGTTATCCCTTCTGATGGGGGCAACTGCATATGAAAAAGTATTTGTGGTCTCCTCCACTGTCATGTTCTGCGAGTTTGTGCACGCAATTCAACAGGTTTGCTGTAGTACTGCCTTCTCGAGTTGATCAGTCCAAAACAAAACAGTGGTTAGTTATGCAACGTAATTCGCTGAGGACTCAACTGCATCTGACGATTTGGCGTCCGTTTTCGGATTTCTTTTGATTTATGTGTTTCGACGAAATATCCGAGGGTGAATATAGAGGGACAGCCACAGGGTCATCAGTATGACCAAACATTGGTTCATACTCTTCAGATCAGTCTGGGAAAACCAAACAACTGAATCGCATATCTCTTGCAAAGGCTAGGCCAACGCCGCTCATGATTTACGCCAAGAATAAACCTTTATGCCTAAGCTTAGTTAATATCACTTGTTTTTAAGGATATCACTCGCAGATATCAACGTACAAACTTGAAGCACTCAACTTTTGAACACCTGTTCGGTTGGGCCGCTGGCTTGCACCAATAATTAGTCCTACTTAAATGCCACTTGTGTGTCTAGCAGGGGCCTGATATGCTTCGTCGTTTAAAGATAGTCGCGGGAATTATCTTTGAATGTTTGTGCGATCATGACTATCGACACTCGAGTCTTGTAAACTCATCTCTTCCCACGGTTTTCTCCTCTGTAATTGGTTGCTGTCTACCAGTAACCTTTCTTTTTTAAGCGGTTAGCGGATGCACTGCCAGAGCTGCAATTCAGTCACCTAGTTCAGTAATGCTGTTGCGCTTGTGTTAGTGTTCTGTCAAGAACCAGTACAAGAAGTGTCAGCAACAGATCAAACCAGCTGTTACTTCGTCGACCTGTTCTGTGCCCCAGACTCCCAGTATTAACAACTTCGGTACGATGGCTAGGCGGTGTGTTGAAATCGAGGATCTTGTTGGTCTCTCCTGTCCACAGAGCAAGCGATCCATAGTGCTAGGCCCCTAAATGACAGGAATGCCAACAATCCCTATAGACAAGTGATATCTGTTTCAGGAGAGACTTCGTAGCTGGTGTTTACTCAATTAAATTGCGACGGAGTGTCCTTTCCATTTATCTCAAGTTAAAACATATTAATCATTAGATATTATGCCACATACACCACCGGTTTATCGTCAATTTAAGAATAAAAGGACTGCTAGAATGCACACATGAAGCGTTGATCTGTCCTTCAAAATGACCAAATGCTGTTTACTCAAACTCTGCGCTGAAGTAGCATTGTGGTCGTAATCCTTGACTTCGGTACCATTCCTATGGTGTTACGTGGTCCCTCAATCTGTCTGTGGCGCCATTCTGACCGTCTAAAATAATGTGCATTTTACTGACCTTTTGAATATGTTGGTCTGCAAAGAAAACATATGCATACAGTGTCTGTCTCTGGTTTTGTACACTCCGCTACGAAGATTTTCTGTCTCCCTTCATCTATGAAACATTAATTTTCTTTCGAATTAGATGATAAACTACTGAGAT